CTTCAATACACTGCCTCAATCTGCCACTCAAGAAGATGGAACCTGGAGGTCCGGGACACTGAATGGCTGTGCTCATGGCCCCGATACAGTTCGCCTGATTATAGTCGCCTAGGTTCGCAGCGGATGATGTGCACAGTCATGATTTCGTCATAAATACAAGCCAACAGACCGGGGACCCTTTGTATTCCTCCTCCCCATGAAAGACCTTCAGCAAAGATAAGTTAATGACATCTCGCAGCTTCAGAACTTCAACTTCATGACATCTTAAACCTTTCTTTGTAAGGCCCTCAAGCTTTGTTTGTGAAGGACCCTTTTCCCAGCCTCTCGACCCCAAACCCCTTGAGCCAGCAACCCCATGCCTCAACCCTCAACCCCGAACCCTTCACACCCCGACATGTCTTAGACCCTCAACTCCCCCCTTTCCCGCTGCTTTATAAAGTTGCCTTCAACAACCTGAGCCCTTTGGCCCTCGGAGCCTCGCGCGCCACGGGGGAGTCGATGGTCTTCAGCCCAAGTGGGGACGGGAAACTCGCACCGGGTGCCTGAGACTGGGCACCGTTAGGATGGAAACACTACCAGCACTACCTTAATCCCAAGCACCTACATCTAAGGTCCTTGCACTCCAGCTTTAGTGTGCGTGTGTCTGCCTTCCTCGTGGTTGCAAAACCCTGAAACCCTACATCCCGTACCGTGAAACCCTGTGTTACGTCGACCACCTTAGACATGTGCGTGCTACCATGCCCAACGAAGCTGTGCGAGTAAAGGGGAGTTGACTGAGGACTTAGCACCAGGAGCCCTTTATCGCAACTTGCCGGGGACAGGATCCGTACCCCCACTACTTGGCAAACGACGACGAAAAGAAGGACGACGACGACGACCAAGTCTGTCCGTCTTGTCCTGTTTGTCTTCCGCTGCATCAGTTCGTGCCGAGCAAGAGTGTGCGTGTGTGTGTGTGTGTGTCTGTGTGTTACAGTGTGTGTGTGTGTGTGCGAATATGTGAATGTGAGTGTGTGAGAGTGTGAGAGGTTAAGATTGCCAGAGTGTGAGAGTGTGAGAGTGTAAGAGTGTGTGAGTGTGAGTGTGAGTGTGCGTGTGCGTGTGCGTGTGCGTGTGCGTGTGCGTGTGCGTGTGCGTGTGAGGGTGAGGGTGAGGGTGAGGGTGAGGGTGAGGGTGAGGGTGACGGTGAGGGTGAGGGTGAGGGTGAGGGTGAGGGTGCACGCGCCTTCCTTCTGATTTCAGAACTCCGAAACCCTATCCCAAACCGAGAAATCCTGTGTAACGTAGACCGCTGATTGATCCGCTAAATGCGGGTCATCATGGCGCTGTCAAAACTACTATTATGGCCATCAAGGTCACAGCTTTAATCAACAGGGCACTGAAGACTTTACATGCTGCACGACCCTACATCATAAGAGCCCTAGAACAGGTTCGCGGAGATCTATGAGGTCATCGCCGAAACGAAGGTCGGCTTTGGCGAGGAGAAAAACGGCAAGGCCACAACGGCCACGGCGGCTCCTGTTATAGCAAAGCCGGGTCTTGAATCGCAGTCTTTTAAGAATTGAATTGGCAAATAGGTTTCGGGTGTGGGCTTAACGGCTTTGTTCGTGAGGTTCCGTAAGGTTCGCTTCAACTACGAGTAAGGAAACCTTCCGATATTGGATTTAGGAATCGCGAAATAGTGCTGAATAGTTAGTGGTCACTGCGATTCCTCTCAAATGTGTCCGGGTTCCTGAGCCAGAAATTCTTGTGAGAGGAAGTTGAGGTGAACTGCTGTATTTACAACTGCTCAGTACCAAAAGTGCTCTAGCTGAAGACCTGGCAAAAAGTCACGCTGCGATGCCTGAAACTGTGCGGCTGCTCAGAAGGCAACAGAGTTCGAGCCAATTTTCTGAGCACATGTCGCCATTCGAGTCCCTTGGTCCCACTGGTACGGCTGCTTCGGGCATTTCCAGCGGAATCAAGCTTGCTACGCTGCCACGACGAAGGACATGACTCTCTTGGAGAAGGTCCGCCTCACCCTTCATCTGGGACATGCATGCGTGCGCGAGCGTGCACGTGTGGGTGCGGGTGTCTAGAATCCAGGTATGCATACAACAATCTCTTACAACAACCTGTTGAGTAGTCTATTTGATTCGCTACTGTTCGTACTTACCTCGCCATGTTTTGGCAACTGCGAAGATGCAGGTGCTGCCGGCAAAGGATGGAGTTTCGCCAGCACGTCCAACTACTACATCAATCAAGCTCGGTTTGCAACAGAGACAGTCTTGAACAGTTCTTGTTTGGGTGCAGGACGTACATTGCCCGGGATGCAGAAACTTCCACTACTGGCGGTCTTGGTCGAGCTGGCCCACTGGTATGGCCATTGGCCATTTGTATATCATACATCTCTACTCTGCGGATCCAGGTTCGGTCAGAGCATGGCTGCTGAAACTTAACATGGATAAAATCATTGGATGATTCATCTCCACCGGACCATCAATTGTAGCCCATGTTTATGTTTCAACTGCCGGAATCCTTCTCCAGCACGGGCTGTCCGGGAACAAAGAGCTCTGCTCCTTTGTCAATCAATTGCGCAGATGTGCTGATCTCGTTCATCCACTCAGCACTGAACCGGATCCTGACACTACACACAACCATCACATCATGGTTGTCACCATTTGCGTTCATCAACTCAGGCGACAAGACCTCCTTAAATTTCACGACCGGAACTTCGATCTTTTCGACATACCCATCGTCGATGCCCCCTTTATCCATGTTGTAGATGTACACATTGATTTCATCTTCTGGAATGTAATCGTCGAGGATGGCTCTGTCGTGCCAGTCGTACTTTTGTGCTTTGACCATGGATGTCTTAACTGTCTTTTGCTGAGTCTCGTTCTTTACGAGCTTGCCCAACATAAAATCTCCAGGCCAATCACGAGTTTCCCATGGCATCTCAAAGATGACTCTCACCCTTATAGGGCCCTTTCCAGGAACAAGTTCATGAGCCTCATCTTTGGAGACTTTTTTGCAGCACTGCATCACGATGGGGCGCTGAGGGCGCGAGAGCAAGGCAGGAGCCGAAAGCTGCCTGCGGTCTGCGGTGGATGCGCAGGTCTAGACTCCTAGACACTTCCCTTTATCCTGTCTCCTCACGCTTGGAAGCGCCACCCGACGGTCATGCGGAAAGTAGGAGTTCGCTCGCCGGTTTCGTCTGAGCGGTCGATGCCGAAACAAAAAGAAGCGTGCCAACCTGAAGCCTCGCATACTAGCAGATTGGGTATAACTCAGCATGATTCTGCCACGGAACGACAAAAGCGCTACCCCGGTCGACGAAGTCTGACGACACATTGGCTCCCGACAATGCATTGGCAGACTGTCCAGGATAAACACTGGTCTGAAAGAGAGCAGCCCTCACTCAAGGAATCGATACCGGACTACTCTCACGCTCGGGACCCAAATGCCTTCAACTCCGCACCTGTTGCACAAGCCCACAGCAACAAAGCAAGATGTCGAGGGGCAGCATTTTGCAACCTTCAATGTGTACTGTAAAATATGTCTTCAAGCCAGCAAGAAAGTCTCTCTAGTGACTTACCACGAAAGTGAAGAACCTCTCCGGCCCCTTGAAAGCTGCAAGCCGAAACCTTCGAGCCATCTTCGTATCCCCCAAAGACCCCAACAGCCTAAAGTCTGCAATCGCCCGAACTTTGTCTTATTCCCCTCAACCCCACAATCCACAGACCTAAATTCCAAACCCTGAAACCGTTTCGAAAGCAGCTTTCCGCGTGTCCTGCGAGAGCCAGGAGCCACGACCGGCCCGGTTGCTGGCTGCGCGGTGTCCACATCCCTGGAACAACGGATACGGGCTCTAGAACTTTAGGATGTTTTGGGTTTCCACTTCGACATCCTCGTCGTCCTCCGCCTCCTCCTGATCATCATCGCGAACTTATCTTCCTGGCGAAAATTCCTTCCGCCGCAGCCGCAACGAAACCACTGGCAGCATCGTCAGCCTTCAACTCCATAACGTGTTGGAAGCATTACCTGCGTCATGACCAGCACAGCATCAATGCCTCCTCCTCCTCCTCATCATCATCATCAACATGATTGCCACAAGCAGGACACACAGAAGACAACTGAATGAAACTGGTGGGGAAAAGCTACCTAAGGTCCGTAAACTTTGAGATTCCTGAAACTTTTACCCCCCTCCCAAGCCTGTGAAGTTTGCACGTCAAATCCTGTCAAAACCTCTCCGGGAGGAGAGACGAGGAAAGTAGGGTGATAAAATAATGGCTGCTTTGATTTTGGTCGAAACGATAAGAATGCTGGTGACTGCCATCACCACCCAGTAGAGTTTTTTCAAACTTGAAGCCCCTAACCCCTAAACCCTAAGCCCCTATGAATCCCTAAACACTATGAAAAAACTCCCCCCCCCCCTGCGGCCTTCGGCCTCCGGGCCCTTTCAAGGCCAGCGATGGAAGGGGCTTTGAGCACGAGATCCGCCACGATTACAAAAACGTGTCCTTTTCCTGTCAAAAACCACCTGCTGTTTCGAGTTCCCACGAGCTCCTTCGGATTTTGGGGTTGGGAGTCTTCCGGAGGTTCCGGGGCTCCAGACGTGCAAAGCAAGTACCACAAACGAACCCCAACCCTCAGCATCCCTCAGCGAAGCCGCAACCTCAATGCAACCTCTTGCAAGAAGAAGGGTTCTCCAGGGCTTCGGGCGTTTAGTGTCTAGGTGTGGAAGCGATTAGATTCTGCGGGGGCTCAAAATCTTACCTCGCACAACACACAAACCGTAATAGCCACAATGCACGGCTATCCATACTATGACGAATCATAATACAACACAGGGAGCCCGGGCCCCGAGAGCAGACAATGATATAACAGCCTAATGAACCTAGGACTCATGAAACCGCACTCCAGCTGAGCTCGTCGCCACAGGAATGCAGGGCATGCACTGCAAGTTCAACTACCTCCCTGGCTCCAATTATTTTTTTCTCCTGCAAGCTTGACCTCGGAAGTCAAACTGCCGTCAGCGGCAAGGCCAACCTCAAGCCCTTTAACATGGCTGCAGCGGTAGGCCGGGTCATCTCGCAACACTTCATCCTTTCAACCACAGGGGCCACCCTCGCAAGCTCAGCACGCGTAAATGTGCAACTGGTTTCGGAAATTGTCACGCCCAATGCATAGATGTCAGCTTTGTGTCCATCATATCCTCGGCTATCATAAGCCTCAGGTGGCCAGTAAAAAACAGTACCTGGCTTGTTACGCATGCAAGGATCATACGCACTGCACGTTTCGAAATCTGCCAAGACATAGGTCGTTTGGAAGCGGAGGATGTTACCGGGCTTCACGTCCAAATGGCACAATGCCTGACTTCGCATGTATGACAAAGCTGACAGCATGCTAGCAGCTAAAAGCCGCACACTTGAATACGAGATCAGCCCGCTTTGGATGCACGAGGACAGATCCGCCCCGCACATGGGCAACACCAGGAGCCCCAAGTACTCGTTGCAGACGGAGGCGACTGGCTGGATGATGTTCGGATGATGCAGCTTCTTCAAGACAGTGTACTCAGCGGCCAACGTCCGAATTTCTTCGGGACTTCGCTTTTTCAATGCCTTCACAGCAATTGCGCGGCCTTTGAATCGACCTTCGTGGATTTTCGAAGTGGCACCCTCCCCAACGACTTTTCCCATGGAAAGTTTGCTGATGGTCGGACGTTCTCGTGGTTGAGTGGCAGCAGCCGGAGATCGATGCTGTCGCCAACTGAAGGTGCTCCACATGTAGCGCGGGCCAGGTTGTCCCTCTTGAGGGCGCCGGCCGTGCCACGGATTGAAACAAATCATAACAGCGAAAGCCACGAGAAAGCAAATCGCCGGCAGCCCGACGTCAAGCGGAACGGCGGCAAGAATGCCGCTGGCACCAGTTGATTCCAACTCCTTGACCAGCTGAGACATGTCCATGGTGCGAGCTCTGCGCAGGCACAAAGCAGCTGCGCCAAAAGTAACTTCACACCAACAAAGACCGAAGCAATGCCTCGGATCGAAATGAACATTGGAGGCGAGAAGGAAGGCCGCCAAGAGCACGTCAAAAATCGGGAAGTACAACGCAAGCGGGTCCACCTGAACAGTGGCCAGCATTTGGCACTGGCCACTGGCATGGCATTCCACTCGCAAGGGCCCGTTTGCGGGCGCTGAGAAATACGACCCACCGAAGAGGATCAGTATGTACGTTGCCGGCAGCAAGCATAGCAACGGCACCGATTGGCTAACCACTTTGAGCATCCAGCCTGCCATGATCCGGGTTGGTAGCAAGCCAACTGCAGAGGCCGTTGCTTTAACATACTGCTGACTCCATAAATGTTATTGCTCCGACCAGGCTCACTCGCTTGACACTCAGACTTTCGCTTTATGGCTAGCTTCAACTGCTCCCATGCTTTGCATTTCATTCGCACGCCTGCTGGAGCAAGGCTTGAGCCCCAGTTCTGGCTAGCACCTGGCCCACATCTCTATGTTGTTCAGAGCTCTCCACTTCCAGGCAGGGCGCAGGCCTCCGGGCCAATGAATGAAGAGTGCACGGGTCTAGACGTCGGGATCAAGATTTAGGCCTGAAGAAGCAGCAAAACACTCAATGGAACCATGTGGAATCCCGGATCCCGAGTGTCCTAATCCGAAATGCCACCCCAGCATCGACGACTTTTTGCTTGCGCAGTCGAAACACGGCAGGCTTTACAAGGCCAATGCACGCCTCAGATCGTGTCGGTGCCCAAAGGCGCCGGAGTAGCGAACCCAAATTGCTCTTTTCAAGGGCCTTTGAAGCTTGTAACTACTAGAGTTCGAGAATGGTTTTACAAGGAGTCTACAAGTAAAGGCTGGACGACCATCATCCAGAACACCCAACATCTGTGTTCTCCATGCCGTGCTCATGATCCGTCTGTCCTTTGCCTCGCCTCGTCATAAAAAAAGCTGAGACTCAGACATGAGGTATCGCGGTTACATGCGGTATTGCTATCTCGGGGTCATGGCCCGGGGGATTCTTTCAAACCGAGAAAACTTGCAATTTCTCTAATGCACAGTTTATCAGGACCCCTTAGGAGCCTTCAGGTGTAGCATCCAAGATCTGAGATGCGCACACGTAAATCGACAAGTCGCGTGTCCCTGGGTCCGACCTCTCTAGAGGTGTCCCAAAAGGCCACACAAATTAAGCTAGTCTGAAGGCTGTGTGCAATCGAAGATGTGCAGGGGTTGAACAAGTAAGTCTGGACCCTTTGTACTTACGCGTGCGTACAAGTGATGTGCTTTACTCCTTTGTTTATCAATTTTTTGTGTTTGTACATGCAGATATACGTATTTGCAAAAAATGCACACTTACATGGATAGTATATGTATATGTACTATGTGTATGTGCATGTGTATGTATAGGTATAGGTATTTGCATGTGTATGTGTGGCCGTATGTCTATGCGTGTGTATATGCTCTGCCTGTGAGTATGTGTGTATACATGTGTGCGCATGTATGTATGTATGTATGTTTGTATGTATGTCTGTATATATGCATGTGTATGACGCATATGTATACGCTGACTCAAAAGAAGACTTTAAGTATAGCTATGTTAATATGTGTACGTTTACAACAAATAAAGTAAGTGTCTATGTGCGTGTGTTTGTATATACATATATATATATATTGTAGATAATACGGCTTCATGTTTATACTTATACTCATATATGTATACTTATACTTATGTAGATGTACGTGCGTATATGTATATAGATGCATGCATGTGTGCATGCAGACAGACGGACGGACGGACAGACCGACATACATATACTGCTTCTGTATCCATCGAAGACATCTGAAGCTGAGACTCCCTCGTCCTTTAACCCGATCTTCAGCACCTCCAGTAGCCTTGCTAATCGCCCCGGAGATCCGCTTCGAGACGAGTCGTCTCGTTTAAAAACCATCCGTTGGGAGGCTCACTCTTGCTGGGTCAGGCTTTGCGAAGCTTAGGTTCAGCTACATTTACGGAGAATGATGAAGGGTCTTGATCCAAGGGATGCTTACTCAACAGTAAGCGGGCCGTAAGAGAAGCTCCCAAGGCGGTCGAAGGTTCTTTGGAACCTCCCGAGGAGTCGTCAACGAAGCAGGGAACGATGCGCGCGGAACCTACCGGAGGTGCCCAAGCCTGACTGTGTCTCTGGGTTCTCCCTCAGCACAGACTTTGATGGCCTATGTGACGCTTCGACAAGAACAAAAACCAAGCTCAGAACGACGAAGGAAGCCTTCGAGAAAGAGTTCCTCTCTGCCCAAATATCTAGGAATCGCGAACCTCCAACCCCAAAGTCTTGAATGAAATCCCTCTCAAGCTCAAGCTCGCCGCATGTCCCGTAGCAACCCAGAGTCACATCAGTGAGCAATTGGGCTTGTTCGCAGTGCAGGCGAAGCATGAAGGATTGCTCCTGTGCAACGCGAACAGTTGCGAAACAGGATGGTGATTGACTGATTGAAGGTAAGACTGGTCTGTATACTGTATATACAGTGTACTCAACTACGGTGATGCGAGCCATGGCTACGATCAAAATCGAATCGCACTTCCGTCTGATGCGGTTCATCGAGAGGAGTACCCTAACCATGGCTAATTGTTCGTAGTCTTGTGCCTTTGACAGAAACTGTGATGGTAACAGCGACGGCGACGACGACTATGCTGACACTCTGTTACCCATGCATGTTTCGGCGCTGGGGCCAAGGAGGTCTCATAACACTTGTCAGGGCTGTCATAGGCTTCTCCGGGCAGCACATCTTCCCGGTTCTTCGAAGGCTCTGCGGCAATTGACCCGGAAATCCTTCACCCGTTGACAAAATGATATAAACAGCATCCGACGCAAGAGGTCTTTGAGTCTTTGAGCATAGTTCGGACGAGGTTTTGAAAGCCTGCCGTAGAAGGTATTCTTTTTGCCACTCAAGGCAATGAACTCCTTCAGTCCTAAACCCCTGCGTTCTTCCAGGCTTGGAAGGACTCCTAAATACCGGAAACCCCTGCCAACCGAGTCCAACGAAAAGGCAGCCCAGGCACTCGTCTGGACGGGAGTTGAAGTTCCAGCTCATCCTCGGCTCAAGGGAGGTATCTGAAGGTATTCTTTCTCGGCCGGGGGGGTGCGGGGGGGTTGAAGCCAGGATTCTAACATTTATGCTTCAAGGTCTCGGGATTAGTGCGAGTCAAGGGTCTGCTGTGTCGGGCTTGCGGGGCGGATCGGCTCGGGGTTCTCAAAGCCAGAGATTTTCCCGGATAGGCATCACTCTAACTACACTATCAACTGTAAGAAGTGCCAAGCTATCCAGATACTAGGATTCTCGAGATGATACTATCGGCAAGGATTCAAAAGCTAACCGCTGCCTACGTCCGAAATCAGCAGGCAAACAGCGAATGCGCAATGTCGAACCACACAAACATCTCGGGACTAACATACCGTCCTTCACCCTTACGGTCCTTAACGGACGGGGTGCTGACCCTGCACCCGAACCCGAGAAAAAGCACGCACAGACCCCTAGACTCAACACCTGCCCATTCTCAAGACAGCCGGACAGCTTTCTTCTAGAGCTCAAGTCCTCCTCGTCTCGATCCCCAAAACGACAGAAACCTTACAATCCCATCTTTTCACCCCCAGTCCATAAAAGCAAAATCCCAAACACTACCACCAAAACCAAACCCCAAACCGTGCAATCCGTCCCTTTGGGTCCCTTAAAACTCCAAAATGCCGAGGATGCGGCTGCCTCAAGGCGCTGCTCAGCGTGCGGGCCACGGGCTGCTGGGGGAACTGACCTCCGTTTAAAAGCGCCCCTTTATGGGACTCTCCAATCGAGCTCATTCCAAAAGGTTCTGTAAGGGAGCGCACTTGTCGTTCTTTAAGTTTTGAGTCTTCTTTTCAAGCTACTTCCTCACAGGTCAACGTATCTTTACACTGCCCTTGGCAATGCATTGAAGAATGCACAGTCACAGCAGAGGGCCGAAACCCCTAAACGTACGCACCCAACCGGAAACGAGCTGCTGGTCCTCAAGAGTAGGAGGTTGAGTCCTCGAGGGACCCTGTAGTCATTAACCGAGAAACTTAACTCAAACTCTTTACGGCTTTTTTCTTCTTTTTCTGAGTCATGGACTCATGTCAAAAACGGCTACTGGGCTCGTTGATAGTATCATGTTGTTCTGCGTGCTGCAGCTATTTGCGATTTCTGTTGCTACTAGTCAACCCGGCTGGAAACATGCTCAAGACAAGCAGTGAACACGGGTGCTCCTGACGGTAGCTACCGTGATTCTTAGTGGAAGCTCTTTGGGTTCCGCCAGCCAGCCGTTGTACCAACTAGGATTCTAACAACTCCTGGCCTTGTCCACGTCCTGTGCAACACGCTTGAAAGCAAGCCTTTAGCAACTACCCGAAGAGCCCAATATCCTCAAGTTCGGCGTAGCTTTTAACGTCATAACCAGGTGCCCCATATGTAAATTCAAACCAAGGAGTAAGTTAGGCTCTCTGGGCCATTCCCAAAGTTCCGCCCCGACCTCCGTCAGACATCCGGCGATCGTCAGTGCGAGAACCTGCTTTCCCTAGGTATAGCTGATTGCGACAGCTACAGTTAAAGCAACACTCCACACCATGACACTGGCAATACGAATACTTCTCTTGTGTGGCAGCAGTCGTCGTAGCAGTACTGACACCAGATCGCAGTAGCAACAGGGGCATTTAGGGCATCAAGGTCCAGAGCTCTCTACATGCAGTTTCTTGGTGAGTGAAACTGCTTATGGCGTGGGGAGACTCGAGGCTGGTCCTCAACCACTCCCACCCTGCGCTCGTGCTGCCTTTCCGCCGCAACTGACGAGGTCCGGGGTGAGACGGTGGACACTGGGCGGTACCAGTAACCCCACACCAAACCGAAACTAGCACATCAAAGTCCACTTCTGCATCTCCTAAGCTCAACAACCTCGTCCCCGAAAGGTTGAGGTCTAGGGTTTAGGGCTGATGATTTGAAAAGCATGATAAGAACGGCATGCACAGACTTATTAGCAATCCTCAGACCCGACTCGTTTCTGGTGTCGGGCTTGGGAGCAAAACTTCCGAAAGGACCGTTGGGCAGATTAGGGACTAGAAGGTTTCGTTTCGGGGCCTACGATTTTTGCTACAATTTCTCGATTCCTCTCTGGTTGGCACAGAGCTACCCCCCACCCTTGCACGCCCTAGACTTCGGCACCCCAGTTTTGTATTGGATCCAGTGCCACTTGCACGGAATGATCGGGTACTAGCGACTAA